GCGTCGTGAAATGAGAGCCACTCGAGACTCATGCACATCGTAAGCATAAAAGCCAGCAAGACCAATCGACGGAATACCAGTTCGTCCCTAACCCCTCCTTACTTAGCCCCCCACCCCCATCCCCCGCACCACCGCACCGTCGCACACCTTACCACCGCCCGCAATTCCATAGATATTTCCGCGTCCGTTGCAGTGTCAGCTTGCTTGCGTAATTCCGGTGTCGTGGAATGCGCGTCCGTACGCAATAAAACCGCACGCAAATGCCGGAGCGCCGCCGCGCCGCCGCGCCCCCACGTGGTTTTTGCGCTCTTTAATAACGAAAAGCACGCGGGTCGGTGGTAGGAGGGAGCGGCCGAGTCTAATGGAAATTAGCGAGAGGCTGAGTCCCCGTTAAATTAAGTACCCGAGCTCGCCGAGTACCGAACGACGGAGCGTCACCTAGTACATCGGCCAATTACGCATCGTTTGACGTCTCATTCGCGTGGCGACAAGTACATGAAAAGCACTTCCGACACACTAGCGTAGCTGCAACGTGGTGTTGCGGGTTGGCTAGGCTTCGCTTAAAAGTCAAGTAAATATTCGATTAAGGTATTTGTCCACGATAAGGCATAATGGAATGTATTAAGCGGTGAGAAGGAGCTCGTCGAGCTCAACGCAACAAACACGTTTTATTTTCAAAATTCTTAAGGTTTATTCTCATGTCGGGCAGAAAAGGAAAGGTAGCGAGCATCTGCACGAGTAAGTCTCGCCGGATCGAGTGAAATGCCGAGAACGAAAGGATTAGGGGCGAAAGCCAGTGGCGACATAAACGAGAAGCCAAGTGACAAAGCAACAGCTTACCAACGAAAGAAAAAAGAGGTAGAGAGGCAAAGCGCGCGCGGGACGGCTGAACGAACGAACGCCGCGCAGTGAAAAGGTGGTGGTGGGGTTGTGGGGGTGGGGAGTCGGGGAGTCGAGCCAACTCGGAGTCAGAAGCGAATGGAGTACGGAGCGTAAGTGGCATTTAAATGTACAGGGAGAGGTTCGAGCGCTCGGTGAGTATCGAGTACGGGCGGCTCCTCCTCGTCGGCTTTTCTTCGACGAGGGCGTCAATTGCGCAGGATCGGATGGCCGATAGCGCCCCTGAGGGGCCGTCGCCAGTGGCCGTCGGGCACCGGAGCGTAACGGACTTTCCCGGGCTGGTGTCGAGGGCTTGCTTCGCTTAGGGTCCGCGCTTTCGGCACTTGCCCGACCCCGCCTCCTTCTTCCTTCCGTCACGAGCTCTTCAACTTTGCTTTCGCTTGGCTTTCGCGCCTCCTGTTGGCGCGCCCTAACCACGACCACTACGGCTCGTCTAATCCACGTACGCATTCGCTCCTCTTGACGTATGCGATATAATTTATAAGGGCTGCGAGAGTCGAAGGGCCCGTCGAGGAGTTACGTTTGTCCAGGCTTCGTGGACTCTAGCGACCCATCGATTAATTATTCGAATTTGTATTACACGATCGGCAGTGAGAGCGTGGGATGAGGAGTTCCTTCTTGGAGTGTGTGCGTGTGTGGGCTTTTAAGGATCGGACATTTACAGCAATCGTGAGTGTAAGATTGGAGTTCGTTACAGTCATTAAGGAGGGTCGCTTGTAACAAGCGAGCGCGTCATTCTTTCACACTCCATCGATCCTCGAAGTCAGCGAAGATTATTGCACCACGTATATAAAGAAGACACC